AAAAGCATAGCATAACAAAGCCAAAATAGAACATTTTTTATAAATTAAAAATTTTATGCAGTATATCCTGTTTTGTGGATAAACCAGAACCTACCATTACCTAAAATAATCACTTTTGAATTTTAACCGTAAGGCGATTGAATTATCTGTAGTATTGAGTCGCCAACAGTAAAGAAATTATTAATTAAAACGTACTACCTATAACAGTATTAAAATAAGGAAAAAAAAAAAAAAAAGATTTCATTAATTCTCGTGTAGGTTTCAAAACCTGTTAACACAATTAATTTTAAAAATAAACAATCTACCTTCCAGCTCAAAGGATTGTATTCTACCTTTTTACTAAACGTGTCAAAAATTCTTTTACTTATTATTCGACTTTTTTTCAAGCATATTCAAGTTTAAAAATGTATCAAATTGAAGCAAAAAGTGTAAATAGACTTAGAAAATCGCGAACGGAAACAAGATAAAGGAAATAAGTAATGATCGTTGTATGTTGTGTCAAGTGGTCCAGTAAAGTACGTAAATTGTATTATTAATAATAAATAGCATAAAAGAAAGAAAAAAAAAATCAATAAAAAGTTGAAATAAAAAAGTTATTAAGCATTTTGCTAAATAAACAGTCAGACAAATATTCAACTAAAATTATTCGATGTTAATTGCTCTAGGCTCGTTCATTGACTGCCAAAAAATAAGTCGGTATTATCTAGAGTATTTTTTCTTATGAAGTATAGATGTATGAAAGAAAGAGAAAAAAATAAAACATTTTAATTTTTCGCAAACACAAAGTAGACATATAAGTAGACATAAATATTATTTTAATAAAGATGTTACACATAAAAAAAAAGTATTAAGGAAAATTTTTGAATACGCGAATTATGTAGATGCTAATAAAAAAAAAGTCGATTTTGGATTGAATTGAGCATAGTGATTTGCGTGTGAAAGAGTGATGATGTGGTGATTGATATACATTTGTTATTTTTCATGTAAACCGTTACTTTGAAAATAACTCTCGTCTTTTGGGAAATTATAATTTTTTCAACATTTTGATGACATCATAGGTGACTTCATGAATTTCGATTAATCTTTACTTGCTAATAACTTTTATATTAACTTGACGACTGACGTGGTGGATAACTAATGTTAAATAAACAGAAGGAATCTCGGACTGTGTATTAAGAGATTAAATTCATGAAGTAAAACAAAGGAAAAAGATTTTGCGATGTGAATGTACAGAGTCAATGAATACTACACATTTGACAAATTGAATGAGAGGCACTTGAACGAGGTCAATGGAAAAAATACATGTCCCGTTTATAAGCTACTATACCATAAACAAACGAGCGAATCGACTCAAATGTTGTAGTGAGATTGAGGCATTTGTGAAGGATGTTGAAACTTTTTTTACTCGATTTTTCAAGGCTCTCATGGTGTCCATTGAGAAATTGAAAAAAAAGGACAAAAGAATGATTACTTTGTGGATCCTTGTACGCATTAACTTTTTCAAAATGAAAATTCAATGTAGAGAGATAAGATTGATCCCATATTTACTCTGACCTCGAAGAATATTATATACGTATAATGGGATTTTGTATGACGAAGCGTCAAATGTACTTTTGATGGGATTGTACTTGAAACGGCCAAAAATAATTAATAATAATTTACACACAGACTGTATATACATACCATTTGATTGTTAAATAAAACTAGTAAAACATTATGTAAATAAAAAGCTTCAATAATAACGAGGGGAGCTTTTTCTATTTTATCCCTCATTTGAAACAAATCTTAAATTTAAAGGTGTCGTTGAGAAAAGTGAACTAATTGTTGAAAATTTCGTATTAGATTTTATTTTAAAAAACATAATCAGAAAAATATTATCTAGGTTGATATTGGAGCTTTACATACAGATTTAACTTTAACTTACACATCTTTACTCGCAGTGATTGTTCTAAAATAAACAAAATAAAGAGAATATTTCGATAGAAAGTATAATTTTTCCATACACATAAAAAATCTCTATTACAAGAACATAAAATCTCGGTTCAAGAGCTAACAATCACTCTAATTGGCACTTAAAGATTAAAATTAATTTAGTTTGATTAATTGACATACTTTTATAAAAACGTACACATACATACTAAATAATATTGTGTAGATGATTTAGACTGACGTCTATAAAATATAATTATAAAAGGCCTATAAATCGCGAACGGAAACAAGATAAAGGAAATAAGTATACGTGTAAACGGTACATGTGTGAAATTGAAGCAAGTGAAATAAAAAGGTCTTCAAAATTTTATTACTTTCACAATAGTAATTTTTTGTTTCAGCTTGAGTTTTGGTTGTATAAAAATTTTTGCTCATAAATACAATATGTATGTTTCTTAGTGGAAGGGGTAGTATAGAAAGACTATTTGAAACTACTTCAACTTTTATCAAAAAACATTGGATGGAAATTATGTTATGTTATGCCGTATCTGTTGATATCGTCAAATATATTATATAATTATAATATTTATTTTGTACAAATGTCTATACAAAAAATATAGAAACCACAGAGCTCCGAGTACGCAATGGAGGAGCGCTCGTGTCTCGCAATACACAACTCCACAGGTAGAAAATCGCATGCTAGATCGTTTTGTTTACATGATTTTAACTTTTTTTCTTGGACTAACGAGTTCATTAGGAAAAAATTTACATTAGTATTAGCTTATTAGTTAAAAAATGCCTTATGTTTTTTAGCTTATTAAGTGACAGACTTTTCTTGCACTCGTTCGCCAGTTATTTAAAGGCTACTTTGTTTGTCTTTTTCAATACCAATTGTATACATAAAGACGTTGATGCGATCCTGAAATCATAATAATAATATAATAATAAAATTTTTAAGTGTTCATGTATGTCTTTGTAATACAACTATAGTTAAAGAGATTTCATTTTTAGTAGTAGGAAAAAGGAGGAAAATTCAATAGAGTTAATTTAAATTTATCCTTACAGAGGGTTACAAGTTAACTTATTGATGTCATAAAAACAAAAGTTTAGTATTTAATTGAAAAAATTTAAGGAGGATGTACAAAAGCAAAACTAATCGATAGGACTTACATTGCAGTGTTTCAAGAGCCGATTATTGAAGAAAACAGGTAATCTGATGCGTTTTTCTATAAAACGGTGCACTTTCTTCTTCTCACTAGCTCTGGTGGTTCAAGAGCAGCTAAAATTGCTTCGTCAAAAACATTCTTCAATCCTTTCTGTAAACGTAAGAAATAATGAATATATTAATAATAGGAGCAACATTGGTGTTGTTTGAATAATATTTGCAGGCATTTGCTACTCTTTTTTGTACCAGAACGTGGCTCGAATCAAACAAAAATTGACACTCTAATGATTGAACCATGCCAATCGGTAAATTTGTGTTAAATCATGATAAAAAATCATAGTTAACCTGTGTAAGCGCACTGCATTCAACATATTTGACTGCCTTGAGCTCCTTTGCAAGCTTCTCTCCCTGCTCTCCCGTAATGGGCTTTTGTTTGTTTTTTGCAAGTTTTTCAACGGTTGCGGCGTCGTCCCTCAAATCTATTTGCGTTCCAACCAGTAAGAACGGCGTTTTTTGACAATGATGCGTTATTTCAGGCACCCACTGAAATAAAATATAATTGCACGGTAAATTATACACAGACACAAAAAAATGTTCATACAAGTTTTTAAGATAATTAATCATTTACATACTTTTTCTTTGACATTCTCAAAAGACGAGGGCGATACGACTGAAAAACAGACTAGAAAAACATCTGTTTGAGGGTAGCTCAATGGTCTGAGTCTATCATAATCTTCCTGACCTATGAATAAATTTTTTTTCAATGTCAATAACGATAGCGATTGCTATAATTACAAACGTTTTAACACTACTACAGATAAAATACTTACCAGCTGTATCAAACAATCCAAGAGTGTACGGCTCCCCACCAATCATGACTGTGACAGCATAGTTGTCGAAAACTGTGGGTACGTACTCCGAGGGGAATTTATTTGTCGTGTATGATATCAGCAAACAAGTTTTACCTACAGCTCCATCACCAACAACAACACACTTTATTGTCTGCATCTTGAAACTAGTCTATGTCACCTGAAAAAATTAAGATTCTTTAAACACACATAGATACCCAATAAAAGTGGATAAATTGTAAAACTAATCCCAACAAAGGACTTTAATAACTTCTACGCCCTTGAAAAAAAAAAAAAAAATAAATAAATATACAAAAATAATAATAATAAAGAGGCATCAATGACGTGATGCGCCGATAAACAGCTTAGTATAACGTCATCGCGAATCAACTTGTCATTTACAATAATACAATAAATACACGTACGTTCTTTATAACCAAAATAATAAGTACATGATGGTCTTTGGCGTTGCGTTATATATAGATACAAACTTTAAAGTAAAATATATACATTTTAGAACTCTAAATGCAAAATATAAATGTCACTACAGAAAAAAGGACAACAAAACAAAGTAAAGAATAATGGAAGATAAATACAATATATATGTTAATCTACGTCTAAACCAAAATAATACTAAAGAATGCTCATGTAATCATGCATTCTACATGCGATAAAAGACCCTTATTTCGTTTTAAATGCAATTTAATACGACCACACTGTGTACTATACATAATTTATTTACGATACTCGAACAATGTCGTACCGCGATAGTAACTTTAAAAAATCTGGTAAGCCTGTTATTTTACACTAGATAGATGATAAAACCACTAATGAAATAATAACGAAAAAAAGATAAGTAAATTTTTAAGTTGCGAAATGTAACAACTGAAATTCCAGAGCCAATATATTAGTTGACCATATCTTTATATGTATCAGTGTAAAAGAGACTAGAATGGCTGTGTAATGATAAACACATAATTAAAATTTGGCGTACACCCACACACGTTTATAAATATATTTAAATGAAAAAATCAAAGCAACAGCAAAAGCATCTATCACCACGTAAAACCGTAGACCTCATGCAAATTGACTGATGTATATGCATTGTTGTTGTACGCATATTTACGTTCAACGAGGGGCACTTTACAATGAGATTGCTTTTGTAAAAGTAAGTTTGACTGCCAAAAATTTTGGTTTACATTAATCTCAATTAAGCTCATTGAAATGTGTCTGTTATTCGACACATGTACCTCATTTAAAACAAGTGAAACATATTTCACGAAACGAAAAATCCAAAGCTTTTATTCCTTACGTGGGAGTAGATTGAGAGTTGAAAAAAAAAAGAGATGATAGAGGGAAAGAGAAAAAAAGAAAGCTGGAAAAAACTGTGCCGAAAGCGTCAAGTATTCGTAAATCACGGCGCGGCAACGAACATAACGGCAGATTAAAGCGTGCACATATGCGACTTGCATCCATAGCCGAGTAGAGCATGTAGCGTCGACGTATCTATGCAGAGCCCTGCGTACATAATAATATACATCAAATGTATGTACTTAAATTTAGATGCATACATGTGACTACACATGTCCAGATGTCTCTTGTGTACATACACTTCTACATGGAAGATAAATAATAATAATAACATAAAGAATTTTGTGATAAGAAACACGTCATAATTGTCACAGTATGAAAAAAAAAAAAAAAAAAAAAAAAACTACAGGAAGAGAAAGAGATTAATATAAAGCATGGAATTTAAGCAAATAAACAGAACGACGGCTGCAGCAAGAGAGAAAAAGCAACTCATCTGCGGAGAGTGTACCGCGTAGGAGAGAAGGCTTCTGTCTTGTTTTCTTTTTTTCTTTTTATTTTCGGAGAAGCCATTTTGCGTGACGACGGTAGGTATATACTTATATCACGGAAGACACACGCATGCACAAACTTCTAGTCTTCCTTCTGCTAAAACCACAAAAACCATATAATTACCAGTGCAAGGATGCAGTTGTTCCCGACGACGACGCGTGTGGACGAGGCAGCTGTGATGGTACTTAAACTATAGCAACGTCGTCGCCGACGAAGTTTTGGACGGGGCACACGCGCGCACCAGTGCGCTTACAACATGTATACTTTTAACATGTATCTCTCTCTTTGATCGTATCCGGCGAAACTGATTGGGAGTACTATCCGTACGTTTGTCAGGAGGCCCAATTCAATGAGGATGGTATAAGTAATCGTAGATAACCGGTCGCACTTTTACAATATAAGTACAACATGAACACACGCGACACTTAACAACGCACTGATCGCACTTTCAGACTGACTCAATTGCAGACGGTGGAATCTTATTTCTACAGTGGAATGGGCGTCGTCGTCTCGTCAACAACTCTCTGCACAGACATATAAAAGTGTATAACAGATTTACAATCCAACGGATGCAGTGACCTTTTGCTCTCTCTTCTTTAACAAGTAGCTCCTGAGCCTTACAGAGAGCTCCAGCTGCCCATTCTCTATATACTCTCTTTTTGCAAGTGCTTTTCTTTCACGTTCTTTTTTATCGAGTTATGATATCATAACCATAAAAATCTTGAGGTGCATTTACCTCATTTATTGCGTCTTTCCGTTGTAAACAAGCCTTTCTTTTACTCAGTCGGTAAAATGTCGTTGGTAATAACTTAATTATGCGTTCGAATCGAATTGAAAATTTGTTGTTTATTTCACTGACTGACGTGAGCATTTTAATAATCTCTAATGTTTATTCAACAGTTCAATAGTACTTTTATTAACTGAGAGCTAAATTAAAAATTATTAGTCAGCCCTTTTTCATATTAGTAAATAAATCACTTTACCCTTCTACAATATTGTTTTAAATCATTGAAACGCCGTGTGCAATATTCAAAACATTCTTTATTGTATAGTTGTGTAAAAATATTATAAAAAATTTAAGTTTGAATACATAAAAATATTTCAAAACACTTACCAGTCAATTATTATAATAATTTTTTTTGCCGAATAGATATTCATGCCGTAAAATAAATGAAGTCTATATTTATCAAAATTGATCAAAAGTTTAAAAAAGTAATTTGCTCTTGAGATATCAAAGAAATAGTGATGTAATAAACTGATTGCAATAAGCTCTGATCATCATAATCGGTACAGCCCAAAAAACATCCTTATCTCATCACTTTTCAGAATCTGTTACTTGCGTATTGCACATTAACTTTAAATAAATAAAATAGTAAGTCGACAAGGTAGGAAATCCCGCTGTTTAACTAAGTGCCATGCATTTGTTCACAATAGAAAAGAAAATTCAACAATTAAACAGAAAACAATAAATAAAATGATAGATATATAAAATAATTGCAACAATCAACAGAAAACAATTGCGCCGAGACATTAATCAAAACGCGTACAAAGTAAAAAATATAATACTTGTGCATTGCTTATTTTTTTCATCATACTCCTGCAGCACATCTGAAGCCTAGATTCCCAGCTGAAGTATTTGGAGTATTTTGACTTCTAGCTGCACAGCGATATCTGTAACAGTAATCTTTGTGGCACAAGTAAGAACCGCCTTTCTTTACTTTGTCAGATCCGCTTGGGGGTCCAGTCTGGAAAGAAAAATACTTAAGAGTTTTCCACATCCGACAAAAAATTAACTTATCTTTGATAGCGTATTTAATTACAGGATTAACTTGTTTTTCATCCGAGTGCCTGACTGTCCACCAATCTGCAGTCCACTCCCAGACATTGCCAATAATATTATAAACCCCAGCACCATTTGGTGGAAAGTGGTCCACTGGATTAGTACCTTTGAAACCATCTTCTGCAGTATTTTTTTCTGGAAACTGTCCTTGCCAGATATTTACTCTAAAAATGTAAACACCAAATTCAGTTTAAAATGTTGGCACACGATAAACTTATCCACAACGAAAGTGCAACAAAACCTGTGCTGGTCATTAGGCATCAATTTATTCCCCCAGGGGAACAATCTGTCATTGAGTCCACCTCTACAGGTGACTTCCCATTCGGCTTCTGTTGGCAGCCTCTTACCCAACGATTTGCAGTAAGCCATTGCATCATTCCAAGAAACATGTACAGCCGCATGGTTCATTCTATCTGCAATTTCAACGCTATTTTATTAAAAATATCGAAACCAATGTGTTCAGTTAAGTGAGAAAAGTAAGAGGATGATAGTAAACCTGATACATTAGAGTCAATGCCTTCCGGCGTCCTCCAAGTGGCATTTTTAACAGGTAACCACCAGGGAGCCTGCTTCACAGCCTGTTTGATCTCATTCTTGACAGCGTCACTCAAAAGTCCCTCAAAGACAAAGGAATCGCCAAACTTTTCAGCCTCGGTCTCGTAGTTCCCATTGTCAGTGACAAACTTCTCGAAGTCCGCGTTGCTCACCTCGTACTTGTCAATGTAGAAGCTGTCCAGTTCGACCTCACGCCTGGGTCCTTCGCCATCGGAAATAAAGACTGGATTGTTCGTGCCAATGAAGTAAGAGCCAGCTTCTATTTTCACCATGTCTTCGGTCGAGTAGTGCATGTAGTAAGGTTTGATGAGCTCGTCGTCGAATCCGACTTTGTTCTCCTCCTCCTCGATAACGCACGAGCCCTCGTCCAAGTTACTTCCTTCCGGTTTTGTAGAACACATGCTCCCGTCATTGCTCGAACTTGGTCTATTCAAGTTTTTGCCACAGCCGCAATCCTTTGGCTCCTCGTTGTTGGTACTCGCGAGCGTAAGGGTACAACAGTATGTTATCAAACAAACTACGAATGCACCGAGGTTAACCGGCTTGAGCATCATTTTCGAGGTTACAAAAAAATTATCTTAGGAAACTTAAAGTGTAAAAAAATAGTCATCACGGTGTAAGTATACACGAAACACAGCCTTTTTCTTCTCTTGTGCCAATGAAAATTTAAATGAGAGATGGTTGTCGCATTACTGAATTGTTGTCTATGGATAATATAGCTGGTAGAACGTTGTTTTTTCTTGCTGACGATTGATAATATAATACTTTCGATACAAACCGTCTCGTTCAGTGTTGACACTTGTCATGACAGTTGACGTGCCACACACGTGTCTGTCTGAGGCAGATGATGACAACACAGGCAGGAAAATATGCAGGAGCCTCCCCTTTTTTTCTCCTATCTGGCTGGTGTGCAAATAGTGACGAGAGGGGGAGGTCACGTGGTGTCCTGGAGAATCACCGGATTTGCGGATCGTTGAAACTCGCGTAAGCGGCGAAAGTTCGATTGCCGTCAATTTACTCGAACGTGCGAGAATTACTGTGAAAAAAGTAAGTGTATAATATATATAGGAGGGTAGGTAGGTACTATTATTTTGTAGGAAGTGTACAAATGAATGACGTTTCTGCTTTTTAAATATTGTCCTATTCTTTTCGGTATGGATTAAAAATTTACAACATTATCACATGCTTTTATATGATAGTTGTCAACTTTAGTTGTATTCTATATCTCATGAATGTATCAATGTAATAATAGAAGCATTATATACTATTTACTTAAATCTTGGGTATAAGCAAAACTCAAAGTGCATCATCAAATTCACTTAACATTTGATTATTCCTAAGGCGTATTCGTTCGAATTTATTGTTGAATCCGTACGATTGTTTAAGCTCATACATATTTACTTGAAAATTAATTTCATTTTTTTATGCCATCGGTTTTTCATTGTTTGCTCACTATAGAAAATGCTATGAGTTTATCCCTATTCGTGTACGTACACTATAAATTCTCACTCGCGTATTAATGACGTGCTAACAAGCATATAATAATATCGAGATGCATCCCAATACAGCGAATTCTCTTAAGATCGGTGTAGCATCTGAAATATTCATTAAACCGATGTACAAAAATTGAAGGGGCATTTTGTTATTCATCTAATTTTTTTTATTTATTAAATTCATGAAGTACTTCCATTTGTTCTTAAAAAATGCAGCTTACCTCTGAATAGTGAATAAGACATAGTAACGTGGTTCCATGGGGATTTAATAAAAAATTCAAATCAATAATAATTATGTTCTTTTATTTATTCATATACGGTATGTGTATCACCTATTTATCTAAATATACAGTAGACGTAACGTTAGTATACGTATATACATGTGGATATACACAAGTTAAGCTATATATATTTACACGCGATTATTGTCATATTTATTATGTCTTTTTTTTTAATTACGTATTATATTTTCGCAACACAACAAACGTACATGTCGTTGGTTGAAAATGAACTCAAACGCGATCGCTAACAAATAACAAATGTGATTAAATATTTTCTATTATGATGCATAAAATGGAGTATTATATTATATGTATCCGTAATAACAATAAAATATTTATCAATCTCGAGTTACCAATCAACTCAAGAAATTTAATTAAAAAACATTCCACGAGTATACTTTGTTATTTAATTACTCCTGCCCATTTAAACTTCAAAAAAAAAAAGTTGGCAACGAAATCTGCAATTTTTCCACGCCAAATAATAATCCCATTTTTGCACAGTTAGAGAGTAACAACAGTTGCGAGGGCGCACAATGAAACAGAAGAGAAGGAGCCTATAGGTACCTGGTGTACACTTGGGTGAAAGACAAAAAAAATCGCCCTGGACATATGTATAGTGTAAATTAAAAAACGACCCCTCCCTCCAAAAAAAAGAAAAAAAAAAAAAACTAGTGCGCACAGGTGGGACGGTTGACGACGAAGAAAACGTTGAGCTCGACGAGCGAGGCGAACACGAGGAATACGGAATACATGGCCAGACAGATGAGGCCGACCTTACGGTCGAGCTTGAACTTGTTGAGGGCCAGAGCACCGTAGAGCAACACCAGGGTCGAGAGCAGCGAGACCGAACTGTATATCAGACCCTCGGAGTTGATCTGCACGTAGTGCATGCCACTGGTCACCGGGAATAAGGTGGCCTTGATGAACCAAGGCAGCCCCAGGCACAGCAACACGTCGAAGACGTTCGAACCTATCGAGTTGCTGATACCCATTGTACCGTGACCTGTTGAAAAGACAATGCCTGTTTTTATACCCTCGTTTGGAGGTATAGGGAATTGTGGAAAAAAAAGGTATGTTACCTTGATTCGTTACGATTACGCTGGACACCGCCTCGGGAACGGACATCCCGGCAGCGAGGAAAGTCAGTCCCATCACCGAGTCCGGGATCATCAGCGTGTCACCTGGAAACAGGAGATTCATTTATTTACTTATTTACTGTATTTTTTTTGTTTTCTCTCAAGTAGCTCATGAATTACCAATGATCGTTATGTCCCATCCAACGACGTAGGATACCATGGCGATCCAGACGATGCACATGCCGAAAGTCACGGGATACCAGTTTTTAAGTGATTTTCTCCTGCAGTCGGGAATCGTGATCAGAAGACAGGCGTTTATGGGCCAAGTCAGGACCCACCAGCATCTCTCCCAGCCATCGTCGGGCCAATTTGTCATGCTCACAATGTCAGCTGGTAAACATTACAACATTTTTATTGTTTTTTTTTTTTTTTTTTTTTTTGCCTCTTACGCGTGTTTGTTGTATATAGGTATATACTTACAGACATCGTCGCTGAATTCTAGGCTCTCGACGTCCATGACTCCGTTGCAGTCACCTGTTGCAATAAAGCAATAGTGAAATTCTGTGTTGTTTTTTTTTTTTTTTTTTTTTTTTTACGTGTCAACCCTGCAAAACACGTACCAGCTTGATATAGCGTCTCCTTGACCTTGGTATTCGTGAAGAAGTTGTCGTTCTGCTGGTCCGACTGGACAAAGGAGTTGTGGAACTTGTCCTTGGTAACGAGTGGGCTGGTCTCGCTTAGGTTCCTGTACTTCCTCCGGCGCTTCGTCACGAAGAGATTCAAGCAGCTGCTGATGCGCGTGTTGAAGCACATCGCTAAATCAACCGACAAATGCAATGAATGATCGCGCAACTTTTTTTTTTTTTTTTTTTTCACATTGCGATTTTACCAGAAGGCGATACCAACCTAGGATATACAAAATGTAGCACAATACGAGTATGAACGCTTCGTACCACTCGATGCGACCGTCGCGCAACGTGACGATCAGCAGCAGTACGGTGATGCCGTAGGCCATGGAATCGCGGCTTATGGGCCACCAGTCAAGGTCCAGCACCTGAAAAACATTACAAATGCGCATAAACGTAATTTCTTACTTTTCCGATTTGTCCCCAAATACACTCAACGCCCCTTATTTTGGGGCCAAATGAAACTACGAGCGAAAAACTGAGTTGAGCCGTGAACTAAAATTATAAATCCAATTTTGTTTTTTATTACGTAAAACAGTTTTCTCAGCAACATCATGCGAAAGCTCTGAGGTGAAAAACCCACTCGAATCACCATCTCGATTATATATTATCTACGAGTGCGTATTTAACATTAAAAACACGTCCAAGCAAAGCCGTATTGTCTTTTTTTAAACTCATGCCAAATTTTTTTGTTTTGTTTCGTTGCACGCGTTCGGTATACAAGTACAGCAGAGCCGCGTTACACGCGTGACTAATTTTTCTCAAATCTACGAGGGTAAATTATTATACAGCGTCGAAGCCGAGTGGACGCTTACCTGGCTGGCAAAGAGGCCGCAGCACGCGGGGACGGCGAGGATGTTGAAAACGGCGGAGCCGACGATGGTCCCGACGCCCAGGTCGCCCTCGGTCACGAAGGTGCCGATGATGTTGATGAACAGCTCCGGACTGGACGAGGCCGCGGCCATGAAAGTCGCCCCTGCCACGTCCTTCGACATGCCGATCTCTGCAACGAAGCGCAGCTCGTTTTCAAGTTACACGTGCTTCGAAGGGGAGGCGTAAACGATGTAAATAAACTCACTCTCGCATATCCTCGTGATGGATGGAACGAAAAAGTCATCGCAGACTATGGCGAGCAGGAAGAAGGAGTACACGGCAACTATTATGTGGAAGATGAGGAAGCCCTTTTGGCGTTGCTCGCGCGTTAACCCATCGGGTGGGAACTCGGCGATCGACGGGGGGGTGCAGTTGGCGCTGATCTCGGGCACTGGTGTCTCGGTGTCGTTTGCTTGAAGTAGTCGCCTCGACGAGTCTTTGGGTGATCGGTGGAAGAGGAAACCAGAAAAAAAAAGGAAACCATTACAATCTTTGCGGGGGACGCTTCGTGCTTCGGTTGCCACTGGATCGTTGAGATATTTTTTTTTTTTTTTGGAAAACTTCTTCCGTACGAGGCGTTTGAGAGGTTTTTTCTTTTCCAACTTGGTGGTTTCTAATTGCGGATGTTTCAAGTATTTTTGTTTGGTATATCGAACGAGTTGATCTATCGGTATCCTCGCTCTTAATCAATTAATTGCGTCATGAAAGAGAATCTGTTATATTCCATCGAGTTGCGCACATACGTGTTATCAGATTTGGACGCGATTATTTTATGGACTTTTAAATGCTGTTGTTTAAAAAAGAAAATTATTTTTTCCGAACAAAGTGTTTTTTTTCTTTTTGCTGCTGAGAATATTTTTTTATTCGTCACTGCTTACGATACAATTTTTTTTCTAGCAAATAAGCACATTTTGAATATTGAAATTAAAATACTTTGTTAAATTTTTTTGAATTTCTCAACTAATTGTTTTTTCTTTCAAGTTTTAATGTATCATTTTTACTGCAAACGATTTTTTCCAGCAATGTGTTACACGTAATAATCGAAAAGGTTCTTTATTTTTTTTTTTTTAGTTCAAATAAAGCTTTACACTTTCACCAAAAAATTATATTTAAAAAAAAAAAATTTGCACAAGTAAAAAATTAACGTATTGCTGTGACATCCATCTCTCGACACTGCCGCGATAAAAATCAGTAACTCCTCCATGTCTTATCGATTAGATATATTATACACGCGTTAATCTGAAATTTTTAATCTTTTACCCGTGAAGCAGGCAACATTTAATCATATACGTACAGCGCAAATTGCAGTAGCTTTTGTTTCTCTGATGAATAAATATACGAGATTTCCTAGTTTATAATATAATTTTATACACATAGAAGGCACACCTGTATACAATACCTACAGTTCGTATCAAAGTGCCATTTATTTGTAATCATGTACAAGTTAACATATATGTCTCGTAACAAATCTTCAAGTCTCTGTTCATTCAACTTTATTTCCTGCAGTATCATTGGAAAAATTTCCCCGCTTACGCATACCTGATAAAACCACGTAGGATCAATCCACGATATCGACGTAGCAACGACATCGCGAGTCATTTGTTTCGTTTGTTCGCAAAAATCCGCACTAGAAGCTTATCGACCGATAACAAACACTTCTTTCGAGTGAGTAAATAACTTTTTTTTTTTTTAATTGGTTTCGAAGTGATCGTGTATTATCGTCCAGATCGCGTACGTGCTACTGGACATGTCCGACGAACCAGGTGCTTTTTCAATGTACCGATTTTTCGTACAAGTATGTAAACATATTTACATGCACATTTTTCAACGCAAACAGGGCTAATAAATCGGTAAAAAGAAGAAGACGACCGATCGTATAGGCAAAAAATCGGCAAGAAGCCGAGATTACTTACGATAGAAGCTCTCCGCAGCCGGGGCTTGGGGGCCTTTGCCCGCGGAGGTCACGTAACCGGCAAAGCTGGCGAATAAAGCGTAGAGGGTCGGTATTGCTAGTGCCAGTAGCAATCGTATGCCGAGCGATCGTCTCCTCTTGGCCATAGCCGGCCGACCCCTTGTGATTATCCTGCCCTTCGTTTTGCCCCCGAGACTGCTCCTTCTTCTGCTGCTTTTGCACAACCACTGACCCTCTCTCTCTCTCTTTTACCGTCCAAAAGGATGATTTATTATCTTTTATGTCCTTGATTCGCGGTTGTATTTAGTTTGGCAAAGATGCGTCGTACACTACGTGGGTTGCAAAAGGAGAGGGGGGAGGGGGCTCTGAATCGAGGGAGAGGCGCGAGAGGCAGGTGAAAAAGAAGAGCAGAGAAAGAGGACCCGAACGCCGAGGATCGACGTCCAGCGCGAAACTGATCGAAGATCGACCGGGAGCCGATCGGTAGTACTTAAAGAGACTCCGGGCCTTATCTCCTCGCGCCTAAGGTGATAAGATTGCCCCTGCATAGGTAAACCCATATTTATCTCTCTCTCTCTCTCTTTCTCTCTCCTTGGTAAGCCGGAGGAAAAAATCTACCGTTGGCGCAAGGAGATACACGAGCGAGCGCTCGACGCGAGGAAAGTTTTTTCTCCCTTCGCATTGACCGCTGGTTAGCACGTGCGGAATTTATCGCCGTGCTTGAGAGATCGATGGAGAGAGGTGTGTTGTGTACCCGCGGGGAATTTTTTTTTTTTTTCGCATTGGTTGGTACGAGTACATTGTTTTTGTTTTCGTTACGTCGGCGATATCGTTGGAATGCTCATCAGCTGGTAAGTATATTTTGACAATGAGTTTAATGCTTGCGGGCAATCTGCTTTCTTTCGGATGATTTGCCGATCTCGAGTGACGCGTTCGCTTGAATCGTCGCAGTTACGAGACTCTAAAGCTCCAACGCGAGGACTACTTATTTACCGATTCCTCGATCCGATCTCAGTTTTGCAATCGATTGCGAAGCTTAAATTTGTACTTTTCATCCAAACATCATATACGCACGCGATGACGGATCGATGAAAAGGCTGCCATTTCACTGTGGACCGACACCCACGCGTCAGTCTCGCCATTATACGCTTACGCTGAAGCTCATTGTGTAGCCGAGCTTTACTCCCTCCTCTCTGTGTTCCTTTGTCGTACAGCACAAGCACTTACATATATCAATGTGTCCCGTGTACAAGTGTATATATATATACGCATACACCACGCCCGCGATATAATATATTCGTACATGTGCTCCACATGTCGGAGGTATGCATGGCGCACGCGACTGCTATGGAATCCAACTGATATACTTGTGTACTCATTGCATGTATATCCCACTGTTATTGTTGATGGTGTGTAGCGTTTGATGATGATGATGATCGGTATACCCATTTGTGAATTATACTCCATTACGCAACGCGGGGTTATTGCTCATCTTGAAGATTCATTTTTCTTTTGCTTCGATGTATACATGTGCACATGCCTGGATCAGAGCTTTTCTTTCAAAGTTTCTTTAATTCGAGATTAATGATGCGTGGTTTGTCGGTTTAAGTTGCGGAAAAAAATACCATCAAAGCGTCAAAAGTATAATGGTAATTGAGCTTTTTTTTTTTTAACTGGTGATACTCAAATGTAACAGTTGTGCCTTTTGAAATTCTTTTCTGACGGTTAAAGAAAAAAAAAAAAAAATAATAATAATCTGTTATACATAAAATATGCACATTTATAAAATATTACAAATTACAGAAATAAAACTCAATGATCACCACTTGAACGTTTCAAGCAACTATAGAGATTTAGGTCTTATATTCTGTAGTTTGAATAACGCGTGGCCGAAGCATCGAAATCCCCAAATACGCGCCCTTTTCTCTCACGCGTGTAGTAACTTTTTTTTTTTTTTTTTCATATGAGCGCAAGCTCTGGTTTGTACTGCCCATTTTTTTTTGTACCCACTGTCAACAGTACGAAAATACCTAAGGAAAAACCTCCGGAACTAAGGACCAGATGTATGAGCCAAAAAAGTATAGCCAGGTACATAAGCGAGAGTAAGAGAGAAGCAGAAAATGATTTGATCCGAGTAGTGGGAAAAAAGGTAAATGCGATTGAGATGAAAAGAGATGGGAAAAAAAAAAAAAAAAACAGAGTCAGCTAGATATGGTATATGTATGTATAGGCACAGGAGAGCAGTGGCAGCAGCGCTCGGTAGCAGCATCAGTAGGTATGGAGTAGGGCCGGCGAGGAAGGGGCCCGGCCGAACCGTCCGACAAACGATGCCCGACTTACTTCGGAGTAGTTGTTAACGTAGTATGTGTGTGACAACGGGATTGACAGCATGGCTTCGCCGTCCAACCTAGGAGGAGGTTGGTCTCTCTCTCTCTCTCTCGTTTGATCTCGCACGCACCACCGCTCCTTATTTTCTATCTCTCTCTCTCTTTTTTTTTTTTTTTTTATACTCGTTCCACTCGCTGCAAGCTCGATTTAATCACACACCACATTATGCACCTCTTGCAAGCACACACGCACACGTAATCACACTCGCACATTTACTCCACATAGGTATAGGTTCACGCAGAGAGAGAGAGAGGAGGATGAGCCAGCTAGTAAAATCCAAACAGCTTTCGTAAAGACGTAGCGCGCGTATAAGAGCTTGCGAGGAGAGCTTTTTCGCGGACGTGTACGCCACTGCGCTCATCTCTCCCTCTCTCTCTCTTTTTCTATTCTATCCATCATTGCTCTCCGACTGTTCGTCCTATACGTGCGATGGCCGCATTTGCAATAAAGTCACCTTGCAAAAGAGACCAACGGCAGCTACGGTAGTACAAAGAAGAACAAGAAGAAGAGGAGTAATACAGTGTGGCGTGTTAAACGGAGTAAAAAATCCAGTGTGCCATAATAATACATATATATAGNTCTTCATTGCCGGGGTATATATATATATATATATATATATATATATAATATATAAGATATACATATACACACACGTTAAATAAATTGACAAATGGCTCGTGCGCTCGTGGTGACGGTATCACGTTTATCCCGTGGCTTCATCTGCTGACACCTTCCCCGTTGACGTGCACCTATACTCAATCGTCGGACGACAGATGGATATCCTTAGCTCGCGACTCGCCGAAGCTGTAGGTAATGCCAATCGTGTATGGATCTGGGCCGCTCCGAGGCCCCTTGGATATATACGCGTTACAAGTATAATGCACCAGCTATTGTGTGTTATCCGAAGCAATCGTGACCAGCAGTGCAATGATGCCGTCTAATTGATTGATGTCATCACATCAGGACGAGATGTTTCGCGGATCATCACATGAGCCTTTTTTTTTTTTGTTCTTTTCTTCTTTCTTTGCTTTTTCATCCTTTTTTTTATACATATGTAGATTTTTTGTGTACATGGTAAAAATGGTAAAAATTCGTGATTATCCGATCAGTGGCGTATAATGTGTATATGGGGCTCGAAAAGGTTCGTGCGTGCGTATATATATGTATGTTGCGGTAAAAGAGAGCTAGCCGTCGTCGTCGTCGTCGCGAGTGACTTGCTTGAATTGGCAGATGGCTTATTTGACAAATTAAATTTAAACGGGCGAAATTACTTTGGTCCCTTAGTGCATGCAACACGTGTGTTTTTTGCCATTTTTATTTATTATTATTATTACTTTTTTTTCATTTCGTTTTATGTTATATGTACAGCAGTGCAAATTGTGGTACTAGAGAAAGTAAATTTTATTCCAATTATTGGTTAATCATTTCATTTCGTGTCACGATTGTTTTTTTTTTATGACAAATTTTGCTGATTCCAATATACCGAGTAGTCCGATCATAAAAGATAGTTGCATTTTTTTGTCCTACAATGGAGATTGTTTTCGTACTGAACGTGTAAAGATTATGAATCTTATATCTTTGTAGCTACAGGGTTGTCAATCATTGTTTTCCTCGATTTGAAAAAAAAAAAAAAAAAAATTTATATGGTATAAAATTATTCAAAAAAAGAGAAATTTAATTCAATTAAAAAAAAAAAATAATAATAAATAAATATTTGCAGCACTTTTAGCAAACGTATACACAAAAGTACATGATATACGTGCGTCCATTCGCATTAAAGTCTCCTCCGCCTCTAACGATCTCTTTTCACGCGATCCTTAATCCAGACGTTTTAAAGTAACACAAACTTTAAAGGTTAATTCGCTCAATCAGAAGAATAAGGTTAGCTCGAGATCGGTTTAACTCGGCGCACAGCACCCGCACGTATGCCCACCCACTTACACCACCGATGCTCCAAACACGAGCAATAATCGTCGTATATAGGTGTTACTCGCCAAAAATTACAGGCCACGCGGTACAAATTTGCAATTTTCGGAAATTGACAAAGGATGCCATTACGGGCCAAAGTCCGGCGAAAAATTGGCACAAGGCAATCTAATGGGACGCAAGTAGGTATTATCACCGCGCAACTTTGACGCGCGGCGGCTGGCTCTCGTAGCGGGTATTTTTCTTCTAAGTACTTGATAAAAAAAGTGGCTCTTCGCGTGCACAACTCGAACTGTCCATAATTTAATTCACTTGAAATTTTGTACGACACAAACTTCCAGCGGTGACGCGAAGAACCGAAAAGTTAGAGTCTCATTAGTTTCTTAAAAAAAATAATAATATGAGAAGACTACATCGTCTTTGAATTGAGCTTAAAACTCAATATACACACATAGATATTCATTATAACATGGCACATCTAAAAGGTTTTTCTATTTTTAACCAATCGCTTGACATATTTGCATGATAATTTGTATAGGCCTAATTGCTTGTCTTGCAGTTATAATTCCTAAATGTTTGTTATTTTTATTTCGACAGGTTACTTCGATCTTCATCGGACCATCAATGGTACGTCTTAAACAAAGTAACAGTTTTTTATTCCTATACGCATGTCCACCGAAAAATATCCTCAATACCCAGCACCAGTATCGTCTATTGTTCTGAATGATCGTGCCCGTTTTATTTTAAGAAAAGTATCATTTGTAAGTAAGTGCGTAATTAAATGCGCAATAAATCACCGAAGCTTGATTCTGACGATCGTTACGATATTATGAAATTGATTAGATATCGAAGATTGACTTTAGATACGTAAACTTCCACGAATGTCTTTGAATTACGACCTACTTTGAGTGGGGGTTTTTTTTCCACTTTCTTCACTTTGTTGTCTGTGTACTGAACTTGCAATCAATATGATTATCTTGTTAATGTTACGTTACGAGTGTGGACTGCAGAGACAATATCATCTGTCGATCATCAAGTCGTGTTGAAAATATCTGACGATTTCAATCGGGGATGGTACTTTTTGACAACGTCAGTCTTTTCAATTGAATTTTTCAATAATAAACTGCAAACGTTTGATTAAAAAAAAAAAAAAATAAATAAATAAATAATAATAACGATGTACTGGGAGAAAAAAAGACTAGTAATATAAATTTGTGGTGTTTACTGTTTTTTTTAACACGTTAGCTGAATTTGAAATAAACTACAATATTACGAAATGATGATGGGCCGCAGTGTTGAACAATATCCTTGCTATCGTAGATTTGAGTAAATATTATACAAATAAAAATAAAGTTATGATACATAAGAGGAAATTTTCTGCAATCTACGTTATTGAATAGTAAAAAAACAATACACTTCCAATAATAATGCTATCTACCCTAAAAAGCATACATATTACTGCTATATAATAATTATATAATCTACCTTGGTATGTTTGGAAAAATTCCACAGTGTTAATCACAGATTATTATGAATTGCATTTCCTTGTTTTACTATTTTTATGACTGCCTAACAGTAGAAGAGTAATTTTACTTACCTTGAACGCAGTGAGATTAAAAACTAGATTAATGACTACAAGTTTTCTTCCAACATTTTTTCTCCTGGATTCATCTGTCTTCGGTTTTTGACTGATTGTAAAACCTGTCTTACAGAGATTTCATTAACTATTCAGCTCATGATATTTAAACTGATACGATGAAGTGTGAGTTAGGTACTATTCAAACTTCAAAAAATGAAGTATACATTTTTTTTATGAATGTGGATCTCTCAAAAATAATTAGATAGACTCGATTATTACCTTAGTTTGATATGTTATTTTATTTTGATAGCTTTGTTTTTAAATATTTACAGACACATAGAGACTCTTCCAAGTATGATCTGGTACAATTTTTCATTATTTTACGATAAAAAACTACTTGCCTAAGTAGCTTATTCCATCGGTTTCATTTATCATTTGGCTCGAAAAGCCTTTTAAACTTACAGTTTATGTATTACCGAATACGATAAATACATTTTTTTATCGTTTAGGTATAACCATAGGTGACATAATATATGTTGATAAATGTTGAGAGTGGGTATTTATGATCGGAAACACATTGAATAAATAATTGCCAAACCATAGAACCAGAAAAAATCTAACAGCTGAAATGGATACATGACACTTTGCCTCAGCACTATATACTACTCTCAAGACCAGAAATTCTCACGCACCTTGAATACTTCATAATCTACTTTGAAAATGAGCCTCTTGTGTGATGGCGTGCACATGTGTGTTTGTTGGTGTTTCAACGTGAATTACTCACAAGTGTGCTTATAATCAGCTCCAATTTCGAAAGCTCCCGAGATGTCGGAGCTCGTTAGGTTTCGCTCGCGCGAAATTCCTGCCTACTTGTAGCGTATTAAGTACTTACTAATTGTTTCAAGAATGTTGCTTTGAAATACCGCCAAAGAGGTGGAGCCGTCATAGTTTAACGTGCTAAAAATGTTTTACACAAAAAAAAAAAAAAATATGAATCTCTTAGAGACGGTTCTCAAGTACACGTGAAATGGACACATGAGGAAGATGATTATTTGAAAATTGATCATTCGAGCAGCTTCTACATTTGAACATATGATTCATTTACGTGTTATTGTTTTGGCGATGAACGTAGAAATTTTTATGTTTCAATCGATGGTAATCTAATTAAAATTTGTTACCCCCAAATTGTCGACAAGTGACTCATTCAGTGAAGTGAATGAACAGACCCTCGACTTCTTCATGGTCATAAATTTCTTTTCGATCATGCAATTCACAGATTCGATAACCGAACAAATTGTCTGAGTGCAAGAATAAAAAAATTGTTGTGCTTGACATTTTTTTTATCGTTAAACCTCAATGACAACATCATTGCATCACCTCGATAACACAGTCATTGCCAGGGCGTGCGGTGCAGTGAAACCCGACGTCCTTCAACAATCGTATCGTTTATTGGAAATCTTCTCACAGAAGTAGAAAATATAAATAATCTACGTACTAAAGAATTACACGGACAAACCAAAGTTGACGACAGGTCAGCCGTGAAGTTGCCAGTATACTCGTCGATATATATCCATTAAATTTTTTGCTTCCTACACTTTTATGATTTCAAATAAAAAAAAGTGATAAAATCGATTCTCAACGTAAACGTTGTATTATTGCTTTCTCGTAGTGACCTTTATTTCAAAGTATATTACAAGTACTATGAGTTCTTTTTGTTACGTGCTCAATATCGTAAAGATTGAAAGGGGGAAAGCTAGTAATCAATATCAATCGCAGAGTTTCCTCTTGATAGAAAGATTTTCAAGTTTTTCAACTTTTGATTTAATTTTACCCTTTAATTAGTGCGGTAACTTCATCAGCGACGCTTCAACTTTGAATCTAATGTGATCGTTGGACACACTTTCCGAGAGACAGAAATGAGATTCGCATCTCGTCCTTGAATCTACATACGTCTACCACAACGAAGAAAGTTAATAGCTTACAATTTCCCCAAGAATAGACGGTCAAGGATTTTAGAAAATAACATTTACTTCTTAGAAATAAATTAAATTTAAATCTTATTTTGTTCTTATATTCATCACACGTTAGTGATCTTGATATTTTGAGCAACTCTTGGCTTATTTTCGAGCAACTTTTTTCTCGTGTTTCTATTGTAAATTTTAGAAGGAAACAATACAGAAACTTTAACTAATTATTGTTTTTATTGACACAATGGTAGTTTTAGTTGACATTCGTATTTTTTAAAAATATATGAATTTTGGTGTTTGGGCACAGAAATCTCTATAAAATAAGTACACGAGACCATTTGCTATTGAAATATTCTGAAAATTTGTCGAGGCAACAAATTAAAACTATTTTTTGTAGACAAAGCAACTTTTTAAAAATAAATATAGTATCACATCTGTAGTACAAGAAATATGAGACAAGCCCTTTTCAATGCATGGTTAAAATACTTCTCTATTAGATTTTGTGGATCTTCACTTTTGATTGAATTACTTTTAAATACAACAACTAACGAATCAAACCACAATTAAAAAATATTTTTGATATTAACCACCTTTAGCAACTTTAGAAAACAATTATTGCTCTAGTGACGCACAACTGTGAATTGTTGAGAAAAAAAAAAAAAATCTTTATTCGCTTCCTAGTGCAGGAGATAACTGAGTCATCCACCTTACTAGTCGTTCATCCTCGCACAACGTATTGTTATCAATTACTATTTACGCTTCAGTTAACCATTGGTACATACTCTTCAGGTTTAGTATACGCACACTACGGTGGTCTGATAAGTAAGTACTGTAGGTCTATTTCTTGATTTATTCATCTAGTTCTTGACTCTCATCTCTCGCATCTGGTCCCAATATGTTTACTTTGAAGCCAAGGCGGGTCAAACATTGATATTTTCTTCAACCCTAACTGAATGTAGTAAGATTTTTTACCAATGATTGTGCACGTGCAAGTACGGATTAGAGGTTGTGGGTCTTCCGTACATCTCCCATGTACCTCATCTCTTGGCAATCCTCGTGATCGTCGAGTGCGTCCAACAGTGAGAGCGTCTCGTTCGAGCCGAGGTAAAGGCAAAGGCAGATCGAGATGCTTGTGCATGACGTGTGTGGTGTGTAGTACACTTTATATGTACATGTAACTAGTCCGCCTTGTGTGGGTTATCACCTATGCGGCTGATGTGACTTCCTACCCGATTAAGCATCCTAAAGAAGCTTAAATTGCTCTCATTCGAGCGCCCAGAGCGGCTTGCCATTCATGCCTAATGTACGTCGTATAAACTAGATATAACACGACTCTCTCAACGACCACGACGACGACATATACTGCTCGTGGATATACCTACTGCTGCCCGACCGTCTTTCACTCCAAAGAGACTTTTTCGCCTCTTCTTATTCTTCCACTTGCTCCCTTTGGCAATGATCATTTCTCTTTTTGCTTGTGAGGAAACTATACGAGGCAAAGCTTCTTGAATTACCAATCACGCGATGTCCTGCCAAAATTTATTACGTTTCTCCACTTGGTAATGGACCGATTGGATTGGTTTTGCATAGAATCCAGTTACGTATTCATGAGGATTATGACAATATTGGAATAAGACCATTCCGATGAATACATAAACTTGAGTACAAGAACTCAATACAGTTTACTGTATATTTACGACAAAGTGAAAACGAGTTTTTTTTTTCAGATCCATAAGTATTCTTGGGGATGCGTTTATCTAATTTGATTTGATCTCTTGGGATAGAATAAATGCGTACATGTTTGTGTCTTGTATTATAATAATGGTACAGGCAAGCTCCGGTGCTTACAATCCCTCATTCAAACGCCAAACTCAAAGTTCACGCTCTCATGCCGTGGTACGTTAACTCGGAAAAATGTGTACTCGCTCCCCGGAAGCTCGAGTAATGTCATAACGCATTTGTATGGAGGTATCTTCTTTATTCTGAAGGATTTAATTACAAGGTATTACGATGATTTGTGTCGAGTTTCGATAGCACGATTCTGAGCTTTTACCCAAGCACGCACTGTCTATGACTCAGTA